GCGTGTGCGCGTGTGGCAGCTACAGCCACCAAACCCTGCGACACCGGCGGCGGCCGCGCAGGGGATGTCACTTCCCCAGCGGAAGCCAGCCGCAGCACCCAGCGCCGTATCTGGGGAGCCGGCGGGGAGGCCTGGGGGAAGGGAACGGCACCCGCTCCCCAAGCCCCGGCAGGGCATTTGCCTTTCGCAAGGCAACGAAGCGAAAAGTCGAGAGGCAGAAGTCGGAGGAGTTTCACCCAAGTCGGAGCTGCCAGCAGGCAGCCTCGCTCCTCTGGCTGCCGCGCTGCATTTGCGAAGCCTGATGAAGCCGCACGTTTTCCTCGTTTGCTGTAAATCTCCGAAGGGAAATGGACTTTCCTGATTTCACTACCAGGAGAAAACCAAGCACATCTGCTTGTCAACACACCAGCACAGGCACTGGAAGCTTAAAGGCAGCGACGTGCACACTTCTCCTCCTCCCAGCAGCCCTTCGTTATTGCTGCCTGTGGTTCAACTTCAGCCCTAGCAGCGCTTATGCAAACAACCCCAGAATTGCCCTTTCGACTTTGCTCAGGGTAGAGCCGCTCTCCGAACGCCCTGCTTATCCTGTGCCGTTACGGGAAGCGGGCAGGCTTTCCCAGCCGCCGCCTCACCAGCCAGAAACCCCAGGAAAAACTAACGCAGGGGGAAGCCGCTGTACTGCAAGGCTGACCACGCAGTGATTCGTAGCCAGAGAAAGCTAGCAAGACCCCTAGAAGTATAAAACGATGGCTGCAGCCTGCTGCCTGCTCCCAAAGAGCTGGACCGGGCGGTCGCAGGATGCACGGCAGCACGCAATCGCCAGCTCAGGAGCAGCACAAACGCCAGACGCCGGCCGCGCAGGAGGCGGCAGCAGGTCGTAACGGGTCGTGTCCCCCCCTTCCCTTCCCATCGCCCACGGTTCGGATGCCCCGCAGCTACTGGAGGCCAGCACAGGCTCCTGAAGACAGAGCCACTTCACCGCTCCGAACAACCGGGACGGTGCCTGGGACACAGGGCTGATAGTTGGGCTTCAAGCCATTCCCAGCTTCAGGAAGAAACATCATCTGTTAAAAATGCGAGCA